CCTAGAGACAATTTAGAGTTACCAATCAGACCAACATGCATGTTTTTGGTCTGTGGGAGGAAACTGGAGTTCCTGGAGAAAACACACACATGCACGGAGAGAACATGTAAACTCCACCCAGTAAGTTTCTGGGCTGGGATTTGAACCAGCGACATTCTCACTGAGAGGCAACAGTTCTACCAACTGTTCCACAATGTAAAAGTCTATCAAATAAAAAAAATCATCAGAAACGCGCAGAATATGCGTTTTATATGTGTCACATGTGAAAATTATGTTTACGTTGTTATTCCATAAGGAGTGTTTTAATTATTCACATTTTTGAGTTGGGCAGCACGGAGGAGCAGTTGGTGACGCTGCTGCCTCTCAGTGAGAAGGTCACCTGATCAACTCCTGGCCAGGGGCCTTTCTGGGTGGAGTTTACATGTTCCCTCAGTGCTGTGTGGATTTTCTTCAGGTACTCCATTTTCCTCCCACAGACCAGAAACATGCATGTTAGACTGACTGGTAACTCTGAAATGTCCCTAAGTGAGAGAGAGTGAATGGTTGTTTGTCTTGTTTGCCTCTATGTGTCTCTGTAATGGACTGGAGACCTGTCCAGGTGTCCCCCGCCTCTCACACAGTGATTGCTTGACATGGGCACCAGTGAACCCCCGTGACCTGGAAAGGAAGAAGATGATGGATGGATACATGACATTACATTTTGTTTGAAAGTCCTGTTAAATGTGCTTTTTCCATTGCTGAGGTCGTGTTCTCAACTTCAGGGAACTACCATGAGGTAGCCCATGACCCATGTCTCCAACTCAAAACATGACTCCACCACATCTTTGTTTGACTTCACTGTTGGAACAAGGTGGCCATCCACCAACTATACACTACTCCATCTGGACCATCCAGCACACCAGTTAACAAGAAGGCTTGAAATTAGCCTTCATACATGTCTGTGCCCACTGCGATGACTTGTGCTCATGAGCATTAGTCAGGGGTGACTGAATAACAGCTTTACGGCCTGCAAGCCTTTGAAGGATCCTACACCCTGAGGTTTGCTGTACTCTAGAGGCACCAGCAGCTTCAAACACCAGTTGGCTGCTTTGTAATGTCATTTTAGCAGCTGCTTTCTTAATTCGGTGAACTTGTCTGATATAAACCTTCCTCTTTATAGTTTTATCTGTACAAACCTGTCTGTGCACTC